CTCGGAGCACTCGTAGGGCTTCTCCCCGGTGTGCACGCGCTGGTGTTTCATGAGCTCCGAGCTCTGGCTGAAGCTCTTGCCGCACTCGGAGCACTCGTAGGGCTTCTCCCCCGTGTGCACGCGGCGGTGCCGTGCCAGGGCCGAGCTGACGCTGAAGCTCTTCCCGCAGCTGCCGCACACGTAGGGTCTCTCCCCGGTGTGCACTCGCTGGTGCTGCACCAGCTGCGAGTTCCCGGAGAAGCTCTTCCCGCACTCGGCACACCTGTAGGGCTTCTCCCCAGTGTGGGTCACCTGGTGCCGGAGCAGCTTCGAGCTCATGCTGAAGCTCTTGCCACACTCGGAGCACTGGTAGGGCCTCTCCCCCGTGTGGGTCCTCTGGTGCTGGACAAGGTGCGAGCGCTGACGGAAGCTCTCCCCGCACTCGGAGCAGGAGAAGGGTTTCTCCCCGGTGTGGATTCTCCGGTGCTGTGCCAGGTTGGAGCTCACTCGGAAGTTCTTCCCGCAGTCCCCACATATCATCAGCCTCCCCACGGATGGATTTCTCTGCTGGATAGTATCTGGCAGCCTCCTGAAACTCTTCCCACGTAGTGCTGCTCGGTTTTGCCTCTTCCCCAGAGGTCTCTGCACCCTCTCTGAGCTGTGTGGGATGACTGGGTCCTGTCCAGGGCTCTGGGAGCTGTTCTCCTTGGAGAGAGCTGAGAGCAACCCCTCAGGCTGTGCGGGCTCAGGAGTGCCTTGGACATTCTCCTCTTTCTTGTCCATCATCTCATCTTCAGCTGCAACACAATGAGAATCCAGAGGGTGCCTTGGGCACTCTCCTCTTTCTTGTCCATCATCCCATCCTCAGCTGCAACACAATGAGAATCCAGAGAGAAGTCACCAGCAGGGCAGGAAATGTTGGACAAGGAAAATCAAAAGGGGCCAAAGTGTAAAAATTCACCAGATTGACTCTAAGTATAGAAAGTTCTGCTATTTCCCTCCAAACAGGATTTCTCAGAGTGTTCACAGGAACAAACCCTGGGAATAGCCCTGTGTGCTCTGCCAGAACCTGAGCCCATGGAAATGATTGGCACGTTAGCGGTGAATGTGAATGATTGCTGGGGGAAAAGAGAGTGTATTTGTGACCTTGCTGCTCAAACCCCAAATCCTGACTACAAAGGGGGATGGATCCCCATTTCAGAGAAATTCCAGCAGAGCTGAGAGAGATAAAGAGCATGACATGAACGACCAAAGGCACAGAACAGCTTCTGCACAGGAGCTGACTCAATTCTGGTGGGAAAAGGCACAGCTGATAGGGACATTACAGAGGACTGTAAACCCACGAGTGGCCCATGGGGTAGGTGGGGATCCCTCCTCCACTGTCTGTTCTGAGTTAAGAACTACTGATACCAAGTGAACTACCAGAGCACAGCTTCAAAGCAAACCAAAGGAGACAGCTGTGGAACTGCTGGCTGCGGGGCCTCCACCCTGCCACAGATGCTAAACTAAACACAACAATTCTGTAAGTGCACCAGGCCCTCACCTGCACAGGTGCTGCTCAGAACTGCCGCGGTGGTGTCCCCTCGGGAGGTGCAGAGGTGGGAGAGCCACAGTTCCTCCTTCTGATCCATGTGGGAGATCATCTCCAGCTCAGCTCCGGGATTCCTGCGGGGGGGAAAGGGCTGGGTTGGACGGGCCGAGCCTGAACTGAACAACAATTCTGTAAGTGCACCAGGCCCTCACCTGCACAGGTGCTGCTCAGAACTGCCGCGGTGGTGTCCCCTCGGGAGGTGCAGAGGTGGGAGAGCCACAGTTCCTCCTTCTGATCCATGTGGGAGATCATCTCCAGCTCAGCTCCGGGATTCCTGCGGGGGGGAAAGGGCTGGGTTGGACGGGCCGAGCCTGAACTGACGGGCAGGGCCCTTGCACCGAGCGCTGC